ACTTTTGACATCTACAGGGCTTCATAGAAAGATCATTTAGACCAACACAGCAGGGGAGGGGGAGAGGAAGGTGGCAGTGGGACCAGGGGGGAACTTTGGCATTTCCACCCAAGGTCCCGTCCAAACGCCGATCCTTCACCAGGAGGACCTATGGGACGGAGAGGTCATCACAAGTTCTACCAAGCTGCCCAATTTCTCCTCTGGAGAAAAGAGGTTGCAATTTGATTTCTAAGAGTTTGAGGGACTGTCAGGCCACGGGAGCATCTTCCCAAGCATGGTTGGTACCTCGTGCCCACCAGGGCACAGCTGCACCAGAGCCAGAGCAGCCTCTAACTCCCACTGGGAACAGGGCTGCGGCATCAGCCTCTGGGTACATCCAGCATTACCGTCCCTTCCCTCTCCCCCCCCTGCAAAACTGGCATTCCTCTTGCAGCCAGGATGCTGCAGCAGGGACTGGAGCCCCTGAAGAATGCTCATACACCAGCTTAACACCACGGTAGTGGCAGGTTGACCCCTTGTCCCAAGGTGCAGTATTTGGCACAGCATCACGTAAAGGAGGCAAGGTTTGATGAGGTGACAGCCACTGAGCCCAACCGCCACTGCTGCAGTGTTACCACAGGGACTTTCCACTCTTCCCCCAGAGCCCCAGCCCCTCTTTTCCAAAGAGACAAAACAATCCGATTGCCTTCTGGAATAAAAACGTAAATTAAAAACCAAATGCTTAAGGCAGAAGATCTTCTTTCCCCTGCGAGTGCAAAGCAGAACGGTGGAGGAGAGGGGGAGGACACAGGGCTGGGATGCCATCTGTGAGCAAAGGGGCTTCTGTGTTCCCAGCGGGAGCCAAGCCATGCCCCTGTCCCAGAGCATGTCCCAGCAATGAAGGCCTGATGCCACAAAATCCCCAAAGGCCTGGGGCACACCCCAAATCACAGCGAGCAGTAACACAGCAGCATCCTGGCAGGGTAAGGCCAAATTCACTCGGCTGTTCAAAACGCGGGCAAAGCTGGAAGGCTTCACACCGTCTCCTCTGCTCCGTGGAAGTTGTGCAGTAAAATCCCAAGGGATCTCCTGAGCCAGGACTGTGCTTTCCCTCCCTGCCTCCCACGTGGCTGCAGCAGCTGAGCCCCGGTCGGGAGGCACAACAAGCAGCACACGGAGCTATTAGGGAAGTCAGAGCAGCCGGATCCACGTCTGCTCCGCAAGGGACTTTTTTCTCCCTGGGATTTTTATGCTGAAAATGAATTTTCCTGCCAGTCGTTGCCCTGTGCCCTGCAGACCATTGGCTTCAGACACATGGCACAGACATTGACAGAACAAAGAGAGCCAGGAGCAGGGTAGGGCAAGGTGCAGGATGAGCCACAGCCGACTTTGGGAACGCATCTGGATTTGAGAGGTAGGAGCTTATTTGATACATACAGGCCACAGCCATGAGGGCTGCAAATGCATTTTTTTTGAAACATGGTGGGAAAGCATCGGTCCCTGTGGATGAAGCAGCTCCTGCATGCCAAGCCTGTAAAGGCCCAGCCTGCCCTGCTGCTCACCGACAGCACACAGCATTGCCTTCCCCACACAGGGGAACCTGGTGTTTCTGGTGATACAGTCCCAAAGCCACACAGGGAACTCCAGCTTGCAAATAAACTCTGGACACTGCAAATCCTAACCCCTTGTAACCCAAAAATCCCTGGAAGAGCCTGAAGGATGAAAAGCAGCACGGAGAAGGGAGTTCAAAGGGAATGTCCAAAAGTCACCAGCCATGCCGTGTCATCTCCTCCCCTTACAGGGGACTATCTGCAAGGGTTTCACACAGACAAAAGAAGCTTCTACCCTGTCCTCAGAGCCGCACACAACCACCACCTACCTCTGCACCAAACCATTTGACCCTCAAAAGCCAGCACGGCTTCACAGCTGCCAGAGCACAGACCCATCACAGCTTCCACCTTCCATCCAGATAACTCTCAACAACTAAAGCACTGGATAAAACAAAGCCCAGCTCCTTTTAACTCCACTCTCCATACTTTTGGGTTGTCACTCTGCTGTTCTCCCTCCAGTAGCATTTCCAAGCACCCACCAGCAATGCCCCGGACTGTCCCTGCTCCCCTCAGGCCGGCCGCTCCCAAGGAGCACCAGGGTGATTTTCTCTCGCCATCTGCTCGGCTTCGTTAGGTCTCCTGTTATTGGCCAGATGTTCTCGTAGACGCGGGGCTATCCCAGCTTTGGCGCTCACTCGCGGGAGGAGTCTGCACGCCTGATTTCTCAGAAACCTCTGGGTGGGTGGTGGGAGGGAAGAGGCAGACACAGCACTGGGGAGCCAGAAGCCTTTAAAAGTCACGACTCTGGGAACAGGGGCTTCTTCTCCCTGACAGAACATCTTCACTGCCAAAAGGGACGATGCTTTATTTTGCAAGATGATGTTTGCTAGCCACGGCACGCCACTTCCCCTTTTATTCTTATTTCTCCTGCCAGCAAAGGCAGAGGAAAAAGGGAAGGGAAAAAAAAAAAAGAGCAGAGCAGGAAGCAGAGCAGACGGACAGACAGAATACAATTCTGTAAGGATTTGGGTAAACTACAGATTAAGATTTTAATTATTCACAGCCTGACCTTCCCCACCAGGTTGGGAAGCGAACTGTTGGATGGCACAGGTGAGACAGGCCACCCAGCCACGGCCCACTGTCCCCAGCCCAGCTGAGGAAGACAGAGTGCTCCCAGGGGATCGGCATCGCTTCAATACCACTTCTCTCAGTATTTTTCCTTCCCTCTGAAGGGAAGAATTACCAGTACAGCTGTTTCTTTTTATAAGGAACCACTTGCTTAAGTAGCACCACTGGTTTAGTTTGGTTCACTCCCCTCAGGGCAGCTGCCCTCCTCTAAAACCCCCCCAGGCAGGTACAGCTTCATTCGTCTCGCACCGCTCTCTGGAAACACCTACGCGACATTTGGACACTGCAACAACTGCTGCAATGCAAGTTAGGAAGCAGAAAGGTCTTAAAAGGCTTTCTATCTCAGACTCCACTTCCACATGAACAGGAACCCTCCACTTAAGTAAGAGTAACAGACCTAGGGGAATTAAATATGGGAAAACAAATTCCTGGGCACGTCACAAATAAACAGCAGAACCCCAGCCAGTCCAGCTGCCCTCCCGCCAGAGCAGCCTGAGGCAGTAGGAGATGTGAGGAGAACCACCACACCAACCACAACAGCCATGCCACCACACACCCCTGACAGAGCAGAGGCATCTCTTGGCAGGTCCGTCACAGTTTCTTTGTAAGCAGAGAGCACGTCACAGAAGTGTAGGCAGCTACAGACTTGAAGGGTCGCCCTCAGCCTGGCACGGGGCACAGGTTCACCACCACTGAATTTTCATCTAATTCCAATTAAATTAAGAGAACTAAGTTTCCTTCTTCAGTTCCTCTGGGCAAGAGGCACAGCAAGCAAACCGAGACAATGCAATCAATGTCCTGGATGTGTGAGAAACCATGCTATTAGCTAGCTAAAAAAGCAACCACCAAACAGCAACTAAGCAGAGATTCCTGCAATTCCATCACCCAGACTAGAGGCACATCACTGGACAGACATTGAGGATCCTGCTTCGAGTTTCACCCTTCCTGTGCACCACAGCTGCCCATGAGCTGGGCACAGAAGAAGGCAGCAGTCCCAGGGCCCTTGCCCATGCCAGCCCGACCCAGCAGCAGCGGTCCAGGCTGTGAAGGTCAGCTCCAGCCCCCCTCACCCACTGGTACTGGTGCTGGAGAGCAGGCAGATGCCAGGGGAAGGGCAGCGGGACTCTGTGGGCCCTGCGCTTCCTGTCCTACAGGAGGAAAGACCAACGAGACCACTGAGTTAGCATTGCTCTTCTGACATCATTTACTTGGCAATATAGCTGCCAATTACCCGAGTCTGCTTAACAGCACTGAAATTCCCCAATTGGGTTAGCAAGACAAGGGGCATGAGCAACAGGACAGCATACTGGGATAGTGCCCAACACAGGGTTTTTGCCAAAACAGAAGCCAACAGAAGATCTGTTTTCAACCTCACTGTCCTAATCAGGTGGGCACAACAGTCCTTTCCATGCTCCCTGACAGCTCTCTAACAGACTACTGCTCCTGAACTCCAGCCTGCTTCATTCCCCTCCTCTGGGAATGATCACCTCCTTGCCTTGTCTCATTTTTGCTGCGTTAGGCTGCAGGAGAACATCAGAAAAACTCCCGGCTCACAATGCGATACCCTCATGCCAGCTAAAGATTATTAAGGCTTTGAAAAACACTTTTTGATCTGGAGAAGGAAGTTTCGAAGCCTTTGTTTGCCTAGCTTTTTGTGCTGGTGTTAGGACCAACTCTCCTTTCAAAAGGGCCTTAAGATCACCTGCACTACTTTCGCACAGCTGCATGGAAAGTTGGTGTTGAAACAGCACAAGAGACATGCCCAGAAGCAGTAGCAGCAGCTAAAAAAAAAAAAAAATATTCAGAAAGAGAAACTTTGGTTTAAATAAAATAAGGTTCAAAATAAAGAGAAAAGGTAAACACAGATGCAAGTTGTTTCACGAGATGGGTATTTGCAAGGCATAACCCCACAACCCTGGAGATCTAGATCTACATTCCCGGCTTTGTTTTACCATTACAACCTTCATTGCACAGGACTCAAAATCACTCTCATATGGTTGTTAAGTTTCATAAATAATGTGAAAACTATATGCAACAGATACATCATTATTTCCAAAAAATTATAAGAAAAGTTACATCAAATTAAAAAGTAGCTTCATGAATGAAGATACTGCTCTAAGTGCACTTTCCCTGCAAGTGCAGCCAGTGCCTCAGCGCTGGATATGAAGAAAAAAAACAAACAAACAAACAAATCAGTTTAAAAACTTAAGTCCGGTTTCAACCAGTCAAAACCGGGCCAAGCGGAAACTGAGTGTGCTTTCAGCACTGTCCCATGAGGGAGTCCCTATGATGCTTCGTTATCCAGACAGGTTTGTATGTCCTTGTTGAGACTGTAAACAATCCTTCTTTCCCGAACTGTCCTCTTTATTGGCAAAACAAAGTAAAATATTTTATTTTTTTTTTTTTAAAATAGAACATTAAAATTAACCCAGAAGAAAAGAAACGAAACACAGTGAGCTTGTTGGAGTCCATAGGATCTGGTCTGGAAGAGCTCGGAAAACGTGTTCAGTGTTTTCTCCTGTTTTCAGCTGGAACTGTACCAGAGATCGGGTTACTTGGGGAAGAGGGGAACAGAACGAGAAAACAAAGGACGTGGAATAAGAGACCATGGCCACCTCATGTGTTCACTTCATTCGCAAGGTCCTCTATCAACACCTTAGTGTCAGAAGCCTTGGACCTGGAAAAAAAGAACAAACAGAAAACACTCACTGGGGAGAAGAAATCCCCATGATTACACCATGATTGCATGCAGACAGTAAAACCACAGTGTGCTTGGGGAGGAAAAAAACGAACAGGGAAGAAAAAGTCTTTCTGGCAGAGAGAGAATAATCAGGCTACTGGAACCATTTCACACCCTCCCACTCTCACCGGGAATAGCAGAGCCTGATAACTGTGCCCCAGCTGTCCCTCAGCATCCTCCTCCCATGGCACTGCCCATACCATGCTGGGCAGGCAGGGACCATGGCCTCTGTTGGGCTCTGACGACCAACAGCCAGGGACCACTGAGGGTGAGGGGCATCCACCTGCCCCTCCACACAAAACTCCACAAAACCACTGCAGCAGGGGCTGCAAGCCCAAGGGAATGCTCCTGCTCAGTCCCTCACCAGGCTGCACAAAGGCACAGCAGGTGCCTGTATTTTGGAATGTGCCCAACACATCCCAGTTCAGTGCATGTCCAAGGGGTAAATGGACATGGCTGTAGTGAGTTTGACCAGGCTTTGGCCAACATTGCCTTTCCATAAAGTTTTTCAGTCTCTAGAGGCCTCACAAAGACTGTTGGTATTGGTCACATCTGTGTATTCTGAGCCAACGCGGATATGAGACAAGCACGGCCCAAGGGCTGTGGCTGAAGCCAGAGCACATCCTTTCTGGGACAGCCTCAGACTCCTTCTCCTCCCATCCACCCCTCCCATGTGGTGATGCAAGAGGGGGATGTGCTGCAGGAATTGCACAACACCCCTGGCCCGCTGTGCTTCAGCATCCCCGGGAGCCCAAACTTGTCTCCTGGCCAAAGGGCAGGGCTGTACTGCTGGCACAGGAGCGATGTGGGACACTGGAGCACCCTGTGATGCTCAGAGCACAGACACTGCAGTGAAGATACAGAGCCAACAGGTTCAGGGGCTGGGATGCAAGGTGGGGCAGGGTTTGGGGTGCAAGAATGATGGGTGGAAACAAAAAAATTGCGCCAGCTTAGATTGGAGAGAGGAATGAGTCTGAGATCTCGCACGTGAAACCTTAATTGATAACTGAAATCTTGGGGTGGTCTGAAGCCTGAAAATGGCTGGTTGAAGAGTACCTCTCTTCCAGGTTTGATTTATCACCTTTGGCAACTGCTATAGGCTATTTTTGCAGGAGGGGAGTCTGGTTAAGGGAACTCCCTTGTCCAGTGGTTTACCAAAACCCCAAGATAATGCAAAGGATGGATCAGCCTCCCAGCAGAGGCATATTTGTTTACTAATCAGTCCTCCCTTTGAATGACTATTTTGGCTGAGATCTTCACATGATTACCCCATCCACCAATGGCCACCATGCACTAACAACAGCTCCAGCACATGATTTGCTTTGTTGTGCTATGGGGGTAGCAGAACATACTGTGAAGCAAGACGAGGTCTGCGCAAGGACACGCTCTGGCTGCGCTTCCACTGCTTGTTCTTGCGGCGGTTTCGTACGCCATCTTCCTGGTCCATCATCTGATCCAAGAGCGTCAGGTCGTCGGCGTTGAGCGGTGCCACGGAGATGTCCCTCACGGCACGGAACTCACCACAGTTGTTCAGGTGCTCGTTCTCCAGGCGGAAGAAGTTCCACACAAACCGCCTAGGTGGAGAAAAAGTGAACATTACCAATTCGGTTCCACTTTTACAGGCATTGCCCGTGTTTGGCAAAGCACTGGCACATGCACCTGGGTACTACTGACTCTTCTCACTGATCAAAGAGCCTCCGGTCACATGCTGGAAGCACAGAGAAACAGACAGTAACTAACAGTAGCACCTGATACATCATCTTCCCAACTGTCTGGAGAAAAAAATCTGTCAGGCTCATTCATTGCCCTAAGGGTGGCAGCCCTAGGCTGGACAGCGTGGAGGTGTTACAAGCTAAAAGCAATCCCCACCATGTACACGAGTGAGGTTCAGTAGCCTCCACATCTACATAAGTGAGGTTCAGTAACCTCCATTGTGTAAATAGGAGAGGTTCAGCTTCAAGGGCTTTTACTCATCTCAAGAAACTGTGGGGATGGGTCCCCATCTAAGAGTATAAGTGTGTAAAGAGCCATGAAACGTTGGCAGGATCCAAACTGACAATACAGAACCCAAATTAGTGATTAGAAAAGCAGCAGAGATTTAAGAATAATTACAAACATGAGAATCAAGTGAAATTTCATCTGGAAATTGCAACAAGGTAATTTTAAGGATAAATTTAGTAATAACAAAACCCTCAAAATTAGGCATAGGTTCAGAGGAAACTGTAAACACAGCATGAAGGACAGAAGCTCGTATCACTGCAGAGCCCTCTACAGCCTTCTTCACCCAGCATCCTGTTCAGATTAAATGTTTCTGTTAGACTAAGATTTTCATTCGAGGGACTGGTACCTTCCATGTCCACGGAGCAAGGCATTTCCCACCGTGCTGACGTTATACAAGTGATATAAACCCAAAAGAGAAATAAACTGTTCAGTCAAGCAGCCTTACCGGAACACCTCAAGTGGGGCAAAAACAGTAGAAATGATGTCCCCAGCGTACGGAAAGATTTGCATGGAAGTGAGGGAGATCTGGATAGTCCACGCAAAACGCAGGATCACGTCTTCTACAATGGCACAATAGTAGTATGCCTAAAGAACAAGACAAAGAGGACAGCTCATCGTACATGTTCTCCACAGAAGACAGACCTCTTCAGGTCTTCTGATACAGAATTTGCTGCACAACCACTAGAGAAGTGAACAGCATGAAATGACCTCTTTGAAATAAACTCTACAGCTAGAAAGTCCCAGCCCATAGCGTTCAAGAAGCACCAGTGGCCAACTGCAACATGCTCTAAACTCAGCAGGTTTTGTTAAAACATTAAAAGCCTTCTCTAATACAAGATCAGGCTGTGTACGCACTTTCTGTGGGTAGACAATTCCTTCTCGAAGAAAGGTATTTTCACCAGCATTTTTGTCAAAGAGACCCCAGTCCATCTTCAGGTCCCAAATTAGGGTATAGCATGAGCTGATGAAATAGAAGATAATCCACAGGTAGAAGAACACTTGGGTGTCACTGTGGTTTTTAGCTGGAAAAGAGAAGAACAGCACACTTCAGTACAACTTAAAGCAAACGGCTTCTTAAAACAGCTACAAATTGGCTGATTTGATCAGCGGAAATAGCACTCATTTTATCCAAGTTCTGGTAAAATAAGGCTAGCTAATCTGAACCAAACCAAAAGCCTGACCAGGACTAGCTTTATAGTGTCACTTAAATTCCACTGCCACCTCATTCCAACATTTTGCACTTGGGATTGAAACTTGTGCTATTTTGTTTTCTGGAAGTTTTTTGTGGTAGACTTGCCATTCCGGCTCTGAACAGCAGGTGGAAGCTGAGGGCCACGTTTCGCAAAGGACACAGTCTTGTACAAAGGAAAAAGCAAATGAGAGTGCTCAGCGAGGAGGGGTTTGCAAGAAAACATTTTGGTTTGTATCAATATAAACAACAGTGCAATAGTGCACTGAAAGAGGATGGGCAGTACAGGAATTCCCACTAGCCATTTTAGAGGTCGTGGTGGCACGGGAACATAAGAAACACACAAGGCAATACATCAGCATGTATATATAAATCCTGAAGAAGGCTCTGTAGAGTCTTAAATGCCCACAGAAAGCTTCTCTTTGTGACACATAGGCCTGTGGGCCCAGTGCCTACTCACCTGTGGATGTTTTTGCAACTAAGTTGTTTCCTATTCCCCCTTGAAAAGGTTACGCTGCTCAACTCAGCTAAATCTCCCCTGCATCAGTTGGTTGGAGTAGAAACAAATAGATATGATAATTCCGTTTGCTTTTAATTAGCAAGTCTGGGCCATAACATTCATAAAAATAAAACACATGATAACGTTTTGCAAGGCTGAGACACTCTGCATCTTGCTGCTATCTGGAGTCCTTCCTCCTTTCTGTGCAGCCACTGCAATAGCTCACTCACCGATTCTTTCTAACAAAGCCAGTAACACTTGTAGGACAAAAATGCTGTCGTTCTTTCAGTCCAAACCCAATGTCACACTAAGTGACAGCACTGTTTTCCATACATGTGGCTTCAAAACAACAGAATCCCCAAAGATGACCACACAGAGCAACAGGGCAATTTGCCCTCTCCTTCCTGTTTTGTTTCTAACGATCATGATATAAACATAACGCAGCAATCCAATAAAATTAATGGAGGTGAAAATGAGAGGCACTGCAGAAGAGCACATTCCTCCCATGACGCCTTTCAGGCTTCCTGGGCATGATGTGCAGGATATAGGTCAAACACACACACTCATTCTCCTTTCAAAACACACCCCTAAAGCAAACCTATGAAAGCCACTTACGCAGCAAAGCCTGTCTGCACTGAAGCTTCACACCGGCTGAGGAGCAGGACCCGGGGTCTGCTGCAGCTCTGAGGTTTGTCTATTTTTCCTGCTTTTGTGCAAGGTTGGAAGCCTTTGTGCAGTAACCCACGTCCTCCTGAGGCTCAGCTTTATCCAGGGAACGCTCTAGCATCGCATCACTTGCCACTGCAGAGAGCCATGACGTCACCCGGGAGCAGGCACAGAAGTCCTGCAGAACGTGGGGCTCTGATGCACAGGTAACTTAATGCTGCTGCTTTGAAACCAGCTCTCCCATCCATTTTTAAAGTGCAGCTGCCCACAAAACAGCGCATAGGTGAGATTTTGGAGCTTAGCAATTAGCTCCTCCAAAGCCTCCACTACATTATTTCAGGAAGATAAGGCAGATGCTGACATTCAGTGACTCAGAGACACTAAGCCTGCTCTTTCCAACATTACTTTTGGCTCATTAGATCTCCATGTTTAGCTCCCCCTACCAGAACCTAAATGATAATTCAGAGGCAGTTAGTGGGTTAAGTGCTTTTCAAAGCTCCAACCTACCCTGTGAGGCTGCAATCATCTACATAACTTAGGCTGTAAGGTTAGGTCACGCTGTTGGTTTTTTTTTGTTTTTTTTTTTTCCTCTCCTTTTTCCCCCCTTAAGGACAGAATTCAAATAAACTAAGTCTTACTCCACATCTCCACGGGGCAAGCATGGAGAATGCAGCACAGACAGCACCACCCATGGCCGTGCCTTCAGGCACACCCCTGGCAGGAGCCATGCCCTGCCCGTACAGGGCTGAAAAGCATTGAAGCAGCGCTGCTGGGTGCTCCTGTGAAGTCCTCCTGTCATGGATGGGACAGTGTGGCCCCTGACTATCATCTCAAACTACATAAGTGGTTAACAAAACCGTATCCTACATTGGCAGTCATAAAGGAAGGTGATTTCAAAGGTTCGTGCTGCTTAAACCTAAATTGCCTTAAAGGCTGTTGTGTGCAATTACGGAAAGGAGGAGTACTGCGGTGGAAGAAAAATGCCCAGGTAAGAAATCTTGTAGCATCAACCTCATCAACCTCAAGAGGATGTGTTTGCTTCTAGTTAGGACATCCTGGTCTCAGCTTTCTCTTTCACTTCCCCTATCTTTGCAGGAGTCTTTTCAGTGGTACCTGGGGTCACGCTGCTTGCCCCTTGTTCCTGCTCGCTTTCTCACCAACCAGCTCTGCAATTCATTCAGCTCCTGAAAAAATTCATTAAAAAACCAAATCACTCCCGGGTAAAACGCTCTAATCAGAACTAGCCTATTGTCTTCAGCCTTGGCCTTTGAGTCCTTTCCTTTAATCACTTATCCTTCTTTTCCTCCTGCCTCCAATTCTGTTTGATACCTTCCTTCCTTCTGTTCTCATTGGTATTCAGCTGGTGTACAGAAATATGTTACTGCTCCAGGCAAGCAATTATATCTCAGTCTCCACTGGCTGGTCCTAGTGGCCCTCTTCACAGCTGCTCAGGGGGCTAGAAAATCAAGGCATTCATATTCTGCCCAGAGGCTCCATCTACTCCTGTCCTGCCAGTTTTTCAGAAGCAATACAGAGCTGTGCGTATGTATGATGATGTCAGGATCTATTTAAGCAGATACTGCTTCATCCTGTGTTTTTGCTTCGTTTAATGATGTGCTAGAAACCACCAAAAAATATTAGAGAGAGATAATCTCAGGATGAGAGAAGCACTCTGGCCACCTGGTAGATCTCAGCCTCTCCAAGAAGGAAATAAAGACCGAGAGTTCAACATCCCATGGACTGCAGAAACCCTTCGGCTGCATGACTGTCAGTCCACCCAGCAAAAGTTGCACAAAGGACCTTCCTACTTCATGTTCCAAAGGGTACCACCATGTAGCAACTTCCTAAGCTACAGATATACAAAACAGCACGTGCAGGAGAAAACACCAGCACAAAACCTCTGCATGTAAAGCTGCAGGTGCAGCTTTACCCTCCCTGGTGATGGGCAGAGCAATACATGCTCACATTACCATGTCTGCAGCTTGGAGATGTCCATTTATGTCAGAGCTTATTTGAGTTCACAGTGCCCTGCTATCTCCACTTGCCAGAGGATCATAGAATTGTTTTGGTTGGAACAGACCTTTAAGATCATTGAGCCCAATGATTAGCCCAGCACTGCCAGGGCATCACTAAACCATGTCCCTCAGCATCACATCTACACATCTGTAAAATCCCTCCAGGGCTGGGGACTCCACCACTTTCCTGGGCAGCCTCTTCCAAGGCTTGACAACACTTTTGGGGAAGGAATTTTTCCTAATATGCAACCTAAAAGTCCGCTCGTACAACCTGAGGCTGTTTCCTCTTGTCCTGTCAGATGATGTGAAGCAGTGTACCACAGAAGCCATTTGCAACCTTTTCCACAGAATTACTATTAGCATCCTCAGTTTACCTTATAAAAGTCAAGTCCAATAGATACTCTGTACAAATACACCTATAAATTGCTCCAGAAGGTCAACTAGATAAATAATGGAAGGCTTCCACCTTTGAACTGAAGCTGTGAATGACCACAGTCCCAGGAAACAGCCAAAGGTACTTGAAGCAGCAGAATTTACTGTCTGCAAAAACTGCTGATAGACAATATCTTGGATCCCAAAACCAGCCCCAGGTGACATGGTATCTGACTGGCATTGTGAGAGAAAACTACCGCACAGAAACTATAGCCCCTTCTAAAAAGAGGCAAGAGAAAGGTTGCTTTCCATCAAAGATAGACAGCAAATACTATGCTGAACGTGGTTAATATTGACTTTACTTCCAAAGAATACTATCTGTTTACCCTGCTGAATTATTCCAGGGAATGTAAACACTATATAGTATTCAACACAGCAAAAATCAATGCCATGTATTATTGAAGACCTGGATAAGAGAGCACAATGGCCCTCGATAAGCGCTCCTGGCGTGTCAGCCACTGCAGCTGGCTGTGGTTTCTGCTGATGGTGAAGGTCCTGATAAAAGCTGTAAGAAGCGTGAGGTTATCAGGAAACACAGTCAGGTAAGCCCTGCCACATCAGACACCACTGACCCAGCCAGGGCAGCTCTGCCTCCAGAGCCAGTTAAGAACCCCTTGGTCAAGGCACAAAGAATTCAGGCTCCTTTGATGACCAGCCTTTCAGTCACAGATTTAAGCAGAACCAAAACACAAATATCTCTATTTCCAGTGTGCTAGGCAAGCACAGACACCAGAGTATGAAGCATACACTTTCTGCCACCCAGTTAGCCCAGGCATGATGCATTCCCATTAACTCCATCCCAGCACTGAACGAGAGGGGGGAGTGACAGCCAGAATTGACTTATCTACGTTAAGAACTGCCCCCAGAATGACATCCCAAAGCATTTGTCTAACACCTTGCTGCTTGAAGTGCAGTATTATCGCTCCCTCAGTAATTATACATCTTAATGAGGGAACAGCAGCAGCGTTGCCTTTCTGCCCAGCCAGCACGTACCGCTATTTAGCGCTGATCAATGGCAGAGCCGTGACACGACAGCGGACTTCATGCAGCAAAAAGGCAAACAGCCCGGAGGAGCCCGCGGAGGACTCGCCAGCCCGTGCTGATGGGCTTTGTCAAACACCAGCCTGCTGATGGGCTTTGTCAAACACAACCATTTCGTACAAACAAACTCCCCGTCAGACTCTGCAAACCTCTGCTATAGCCTCCGGGCACAATTTGAAG